AGTTGAGCCAGGTAAGCTAGTCAGTTTCTTCCAGATCTCCTTCTAGCCGATGTTGCTTAGTTTCCAGCTCGCATACTCGTACATTCCATGTACTGATGCTAGTTGGCCTGCATCTTATTATGATGCAGACGCAGGTACCCAGGATCAGCATCCAGTACGCCGTTGATCCAGCTGAGCACTCCAGAGTCAGTGGTGAGCCTCCTTGCTTTCCGGAGGACTCGATTATTTGTTCTCTTAGTTTTGTTTTATTAGGATATTGTGGGGTCTGTCCCAACATCCATCTCAGTATTATAGAGGCTTCATAGACAGTCAATCAGTTAGTATTGAGTCTCTCATCTATGCATAGATGTAAATATTCTAATTTGAGACTCGAGTTGCATTTTCGGGCCAATTTTATCAGTGAAGTTGTTTTATGTCTTTGCATGGCATTGAGTTATTCTGTTGAGTTAGGTTTCCGCTGAGTTAAGAAAGCCAGGCCAAGGGTTCGCTTGGGGCCAGCAGTGGTCTCCGGGTGCCGGTCCCGCCCAGGGTGTAGGCTCGGGGGGTGACAGATTTCTTTTGATGCTTTATATGGAATGTTGTTGAATGAAGAATGACAATTAAAATGAGATGAAGCTCTTACTGTTATTGCACCCACGGCACAGTTTACCCAGAGTTCATTCACTCCGCATCGTGGTCGTGGGAGAGGAGGAAGAGGTAATCGAGGTCGTGGACGCTATCTGAATCAAGGATTCTCTCAGTCGACTCAAAATCGTGCTTTTTACCAGCCCTCTAGTCCAATACCTCCAGACATGTCACCAATTGTTTGTCACAACTATGAAGGTAAATGGCACATTGCACGAGTCTGTCCCTCACCAAAAACTCCTAATGGAACTAGAATATCTGGCCACCCGACCTCACATTTTGCCAGCACAGAATGCTCACCTACACAAAATTGGTTGATGGATAGTGGTACCACGCATCATCTTACCTCTAATCTTGATAATCTTGCTATTCATTCTAAATATCAAGGTCCTGAAGAAGTCACTCTAGGTAATGATTCTAAATTACCCATATCTCACATAGGTAAAAGTTTTATCAGTGCTTCTGATAAAAAATTTAAACTTGATAATATTCTACATGTTCCTACCGCTACTCAGAATTTGGTCTCTATTAGTTCTTTTGCCAAGTCTAATAATGTTTCTATTGAATTTTTTCCTGGCCATTTTTTGATTAAGGACTTGGAAACGAAGGGAATACTACACACCGGCCTGAGTATTGATGGACTCTATTCTCTTCCGGTGAAGAAATTACTCTCACCAGCTTCCTTTGCTGCTTCTCTTGGTGTTTGGCATGCTCGTCTGGCGCATGCATCCTATCCTATAGTTCGTCAAGCTTTACCGGCTGCTGTTTTCACGTTTAGTAAATCATCTAGTTTATGCACTGCGTGTGCTGTTAGTAAGAGTCATAAAGTCCCGTTTAGCGAGTCTACTTTTAAGGCATATGGCCCTCTTGATTTAATATGTTCAGATGTCTGGGGCCCTGCTCCGGTTGTTTCTAATGATGGTTATCGATATTATGTCATTTTTTTTACCATTTTAGTAAATACACTTGGATCTACTTTCTTCGCTTCAAGTCTGAAGTTTTTTCTATATTTATCCAATTTCGTACTATTGTTGAAAAGTATTTTGGACGATCTATTAAATCTTTTCAAGCTGATTAGGGAGGTGAGTTTCAAGCCTTGACACAATATTTACGTGATAATGGGATTACGCAAAGATCCTCCTGTCCCTATACTCCCGAACAAAATGGTTGTGCGGAACGAAAACATAGGCATATTGTTGAAACAGGGAGAGCACTCTTGCATCACTCTAATGTCCCTTCTCGTTTTTGGACTAATGCTTTTGAAACAGCTGTGTATACTATTAATAGACTCCCTACACCTCGGCTACAACATCAATCCCCATTTTTTGTTCTATTTCAAACAGATCCTGATTACTCTTTATTACGTGTCTTTGGTTGTCTTTGTTTTCCGTGGCTTCGTCCTTACGCAAAGGACAAATACACCTAGGTCTAAACCTTGTATTTTTCTAGGATATAGTAAAATTCATAAGGGGTATAAATGTTTTGACGCTGATTCAGGAAAATTTTTTGTATCTCGTCATGTCAATTTTGATGAAAATGTGTTTCCCTTTAGCTCGCAGGATGCAAAGGTTCCCAGCTCATCGACCAATTCTATCGGTGACCCAATAAATTTACAACTACCCCTATTGCCTTCACAACCAACACCCCATGCTTCCTCTGAGACAAATGTTATCACTTCTCTGTTACCTTCACCTAGTCCAGTTTTGCACCAACCTTCAGCGGGAACAAACATACACTCACCACTACTTAGCTCCATCTCATCATCTGTGTTAATACCATCACATGATAATGATGGCCTCCCCTTGAGTGTTGATCGACCTCAATCTTCCGTACCTACTGCTCCATCTAATAATAATTCATCTCCGGCTCCACTGCCTCCTGTTCCACAAATGGTTACTCGTTCTCAAACAAGCTCATTGAAGCCTAAGCTTCCATTTTCCTTGTCTGCTATTACACATTCTAGTGAGGAACCTATTTGTTATTCACAAGCTTCTAAGGAGGACTATTGGCGTCGTGTGATGACTGATGAGTATAATGCTTTGATTCAGAATGGAACCTGGGAACTTGTACCTCCATCATCTTCTCAGAATGTTATTGGTTGTCGTTGGGTGTTCAAAACAAAGCTGAAATATGACGGGTCTCTAGATCGTCACAAGGCACGCTTAGTTGCCAAGGGGTATCATCAACGTCCTGGAATTGACTTTGTGGACACATTTAGTCCGGTGGTGAAGCCGATAACAATTAGATTGTTACTCTTCTTAGTTGTGACTAAAGGTTGGAATATCACACAACTGGACATTTCGAATGCGTTCCTCCACGGGCATTTAGATGAGGTTGTTTATATGTCGCAACCTCCCAAATTCGTTGATCCATCTTGTTCTGATCATGTTTGTATGCTGAAACGCTCTCTTTACGGTCTAAAACAATCACCTCGTATGTGGAACAAACGTTTAACTGATGCACTTTTCTCTCTTGGCTTCTTGGGTTCCAAGACTGATAGCTCTTTATTCTACATATCCACTGCTAGTGATAAGATCTTTTGTTTGGTGTATGTTGATGATATATTATTAATGGGTAATAACCCTGCTCGAATTAAGTCACTCATTACACAGCTTCAGGCCCAGTTTGTTGTTCGTAACCTTGGCACTCTTTCTTATTTTCTGGGAATTGCAGCAACCTGGACCAGTGAGGGATTGCTTTTGTCTCAACGTAAATATGTTGAGGACCTCCTTAATCGAGTACATATGGCTTCTTGTAGTCCTGTTTGCTCACCCATGCAACCTGCGTCGAAGTTATCATCTACTTCTGGTGTTCTTTTCGATGATCCTACTTTATATCGCAGCACTGTTGAGGCACTTCAGTATCTCACCTTCACTCGACCAGATGTTGCTTATGCTGTGAACAAAGTATCCCAATTCATGAATTGTCCCCTGGATGTTCACTGGATAGCTGTGAAACGTATTTTACGTTATGTTAAAGCTACTGCTTCCCATGGCCTGTTCTTCAAACGTACTTCAAATGACTTGCTTCACGAATATTCTGATTCGGATTGGGGGGGAGATGTGGATGATCGAAAATCCACCACTGGTTTTGCTATATTTCTTGGTGATAACTTGATCTCATGGTCTTCACGGAAGCAATGAGTTGTCTCTAGGTCCAGCACTGAGGCTGAGTATCGGGCATTAGCAGCAGCTACATCTAAAATTACCTGGGTTGAATTCCTTCTTCGGGAGATAGGCTGCTTCACATGTACTGTTCCTATCATTTGGTGTGATAACCTTAGTGCTACCTACTTGACAGCTAATCCCATTTTCCACTCTCGTACAAAACATATGGAAATTGATTTTCATTTTGTTCGCGATAAGGTTCGTGCAAAGTCACTTTCAGTTCGATATGTGAGTACTCATGATCAAGTTGCTGATGTGCTCACCAAGCCCTTGTCAAAGTCTCGCTTTCTTGATTTAAAGAACAAGTTGACAGTAGTTCAGCACCCTGCTCAACTTGAGGGGGAATGAAGACAGATGAGGCAGTGTTTGTAGTCCAACTAGGATTAGTCTCTTATCTCCTAGTTTGTGTTGGTTTTGTTATTGTGTTATTGTCCTAGTGTAACGATAGGACTCTTAAGTTAGACTCTATATATATTCTCTCATGTACATCACATATAATATATTGAAAAGGTTTTACACCATGATCCCCTATAAAAAGATCATGAATCAACAAATCATGTACAATCCACTTATCAATATCATTGTTTTCTTACTCTACCCCGAATGCTAATTTTGTCATGTTTTATATTATTTATAATTGTACTTGAAGTTCTTGAAGAGCCAGCACCATCAAATAAAATTTAAGGTACAAATATTAGTTAAGAAATATGCCGCTTAAGAGAAATGCTTTGCGTAGTTAATTTTATTTGTTAATGATACATTTTTTGACAATTTTATTAGACTCAAGTTAAAATGTTTTACATGCTCTCATAAACAAACTAGGTAGTGTGGATTTGAAACAACTTAAATGACTTGTGCGTGCAATATATGAAACTAGAGGAACAAAGTATATATATGTTTGAAATATGAACACTATTGCATTGTTTAGCTTACTTACCATATTGTTCATCATCACATCTTCGAAATCTTCAACATTCCATACTCTATTAGGTTCTCCAGAATCTTTTTGCATTTTCACTATGTATTTGCCCATATCTTCAATCAAGTCATGCATTTCAACTCAATCATATTCAGAGATGAACACAAGGGATTTGTCAATTAGGACATCCAATATGTATTCAGCTCAAGAATCATAGCTCTCAACAATTTGCATGACTTCTTTTCTTTCATCTCCTCGGAAGAAACATGCGATATCTAGAAATATCGTTCGCTCTTTGGGCTCCAATCCATCATAACTTATTTTGAGTTTTTTCAAAAATTTCTGAATTAGAGTTTTTCTTTATTTGGTCTACAATTCTTTTCCTCTTATCTACACCTTTCTTATGCAGCAAAGAACCCCACATCTTGAGGGCTAAAGGAAGGCCATTAGTGTGATTTAGTACCTCCAACGAGAACTTCTTAAAACACTCATCTGGAACTTCTTTTTTGAAAGCATGTTGATTGAACAATTGCATAGCTTCATGATCAGGTAGTATCTGCACTTCATATATTGCATCATTATTCTCTATCAATTGTCTATTTCTAGTTGTTACAATAACTCTACTTCCATTACCAAACCAACCAACACCACCTGCTAAATACTCCAAATGATCATCAACACCTTCATAGAACAAAGTCTGCTCTAAATCATGCACTTCCCATTATACTTATTATATACGTAATCATCTTTTTTTCTTAACAGTTCAGAGAGAAGAGTATTTTGTAACTTTCTTGCATTTTCTTTAACATCGGCAAGAAAACAAGCAGCTTTAAATTGATCAGATAAAGTATCAAAGATGGCTTTTGCTATCGTCGTTTTACCGACTCCGCCTATTCCCCAGATCCCAACAATTCGAACATCATCGATTTTTATTTGAAGTAGGGATTTTAGTTCCTCCAAATGAGCATTTATTCCCACAACATCTTGCAAATAAGATAAAAAACGAGCACTCCTGCAAAATTTGGAAGAGATGTGGTCGACAATCTGCTCAATTTCCTTTGATTGATTAATCCTACATAAATTAGAGATTGATTGTTGACAATGTGAGGAAGTCAAGTATTAGAAAGTATTTCATAATTTTAATGTTCAAGAGCGTATTAAATAGGAAACATTATAGTTCAGGGTAATATATAGAAACATATTGTTATTTTTTTCATCAAAAGCAATTATTTGTTTCCAACTCACCCGTCATGAATATCATGTCCTTTTAGATCTGTGGCAGCAGTTAGGGAATTCCTCCATCCTTGAACCTTCTGCATCCCCTCAACATCATGCTTACACCTTGATTCGTGTTTGGCAAATGCTTCTACAAAGCTATCACTTTGGTATCGAATATGTGATGGATCCACATTACAGAAGATTGGTATAACTGTTTGTTTATTTTCTTTCTCCTTGCATTCCATAATCTTCACTAGTTCATTCAAGCACCACCTTGACGTAGCATATTTTTTTGAGAAAATGATTACAGTAACTTGAGACTCCTCTATCGCTTGCACGAGTTCTTCTGAGTTGGAATCGCCATCCTCTAGCCTTTCATCATCTAGAAAGGTGAATATTCCCCTATTTTTTAAACCATTGTACAAGTGACTCATAAAATTATTCTGGGTATCAACTCCTCTGAAACTCAGAAAGACATCGTACTTCCATCGAGGACAGTAGTGTGAATTACTCGCAGAAGAAGAAGATGATGCCATAGATTCAGTTAATTGTCTAAAAAGAAAAAGTAAAGTGTATGGATCGGATGAGATCAATTGATGAACAAATTAGTTATATAGAGGAAAGAAGAAATAAACATTCCAGTCTATGGTTATGGACCCACTATCCATCTGAACAAAGAAAAATTGGACCACATTACTATTACGAACACAATACAAATCCGACTAGTTTAGAGTCTAATTACGTATTTTTATTTTAGTTTTTGAAATTATCTTTCATACCATATTTTAATTCACCAGATACAATCATCTAGGCACTCAGATACATGTATCTCAAATATATGCAGGTCCAATTTGGTGTAATTTGTTCCAAATACACTGTATATTCAAGTGTGACTCGTATGTATCTGAGATACATTAACTCTCTTTCTCACCCTCGCTCTCTATGTATTTGTATTTCATAATGTATCTAGTATTAAAAAAAAATATGTGTATCTAGTATGTTGACTTTCTTGCTCGCCTCTCTCCTCTCTCGCTCGTCTCTCTCCCTCTTTCGTTGGCCTCTCTCAATCTATTATTAGTATTTATGGTAGAAATGTTTGTGTAATTTAATAGTTTTCTCCTACTATTTTTGATAGATTTTTACCTTTCATCACAATGAACGGATAAAGTCAAGTCGCGTTGTCGATGACAAAGAATTTGCCCTTCTTTTTTCTTTGCACTAGTATGTGCTTGTACTTCAATTTTTAGTGGTCCATTGTGTGGATATGCATTAGAGTTTCCAAGAAATTTCCTACATTTATTGCTTTTGACTGTTTGTTTATATTCAATGCAATGAAGTCTAGTCTTCATGTTGTGTCGGTAAAAAATTTGGAAGACGGGGTCTACTCCAATTGAATTATTGCTATGGGTTCCACAGTAATATGAACACAATGGACATCTGAAAATATAAGTGCATGAAGCTACAAAGAAAGGCTATATCTTGAAAAATATCTCCGTTGAATCAAACTATTGTGAGTTAGTTCTACTTAGTATTATGTATCCGCAAAGATGCCTGACTTAATTTAGATTCGTGTCGAGAGGTTTCACATCAAGGGTAAAACACTTCCTAACAAGGACTAGTCAATAATCAAGGCACAAACCCAAAATATTTAATTAAGAATGAAGGAATAATTATGACTCTACTAGAATCATTGTTATTATTCGATCTCCTATTTAATAATTGTAATTAACTAATAATTATTTTTATTTATGGTTATGGACTCACGGTAAGAAAAATTGGATCATATCCCTGCTTTTGATTGGTTATTATTTGGAAAAAATTGTAATTAACTATTTTCTTTGTTCCAATTTATATGAATCACTTTTTTTTTAGTCGATTCCAAAAAGAATGACGGATAAGAAACAAACGATATACACTCCTATCAATAGTTGCTCGACCACTTGAGCTACATTGGTTCCAAGAGAGGTGTCACATCACTTGTATTAAAACGGGAGTTATATAAATATATGTATCTAGAAGATTGGATTATTGTATACCGAACTTCTTTTTGTTGAATCTATTTCTTCAAGCCAAGAATCTAGTTGTTTTGTAACAAATAGAGAAATTTGTCACCTCCACATGGAAATAGAAAATACTAATTTCATTTTAATTTGTTTGATTTATTTTTTAATCCGCTTAAAAAAGAACATATCTTTCCTTTTATTTAAGGGAAAATAACGAGGGCAACTTGAGAGTATTTGAAAGCTTTCAAGAGTTCTTCTAGGATCGTATCGCCATGCTTTAGCCTTTTATCAGTTTAAAAAGTGATTATTTTCCTTCTTGTTAAAAGTTCGTACAAGTAACTCGTAATTGTTTTATCAGTATCTTCACCTCCCAGTAGTCAACTAGTACATTTACATTGAATATTACTCATCCATAGTAAGTAGTAGGAAATTTCTTCACGCCTTCCACACATTTATGTTTGATTGTGACATGGATTAAAGTGCTGACAATTGTGCATGAACTTGACGAATTCCAACAAAAATTGGGAAAAGGTCACCCAACTCTCGAAAAGCAGTGTGACAACTAAAAAGAAATAAAGGTATGGGAGCTATGCACCTTACAAGGCGTGACCTCGCATGTGCCTTCCATTTTACATTGTTAACCGCGTTAAAAATTTTGGGGTAAGGTGTGGGGATCATGTGCCTTTACCCCTTTGCTCTTTAATTTTTTTTTGTTGTTCTTTTGGAATTTTTGTAAAAAAAATAAAATACTTGCCCTTTAGGCTCTGGACTACAAAATGGACAGCTAAAAGTACAAGTGGATGAAGCATCAAAGAAAAAGAGTATCCCAAAATGAGAAGAAACAAAATTTTAAGAGAAGTTAAATGAAATTATATATTGTCATGGGCGGAGCCACTTTAGGTGAAGGGTGTTTGGTACACACATATCGCTAGAAAATTATGTGGTATATCGAGACTAAATATTACTCTGTTATTATAAGTGTATATTTAATTTTGTACACCCTTAACATAACTAAGAAAAATATTTGCACACCTTTCACTGAACTCCTAACTCCGCCACGAAATTTATTGCTCCACAAGTACAAACACCAACCTCCCTTTATCTTCTCTACCAAATATTGATTGAAATTTGTCTTTAATTTTAAAGAAAACAGACGACTTTGACTTTAAAAACTCTACTTGAATGGAAGATGTAATTATTGCTATTTTTTCAAAAACTTTTTGTGTCTAGTGTAATTTTTTTCCATACATTCTAAAAGGGTCAAACACATATGCAGACCCTTAAACTTGCCCCTAAATTTC